TCTTACGTCATCTGATCTTACATCTTCACACCCTATGTCAGCTGTTCTTACATCTTCACATCTTACGCCAGCTGATCTTACATCCTCACATCTTACGTCAGCTGCGCTTACATCTTCACATCTTACGTCAGCTGGTCTCACATCTTCACATCTTGCGTCAGCTGATCTTACATCTTCACATCTTGCGTCAGCTGATCTTACATCCTCACATCTTACGTCAGCTGATCTTACATCTTCACATCTTACGTCAGCGCTGCTCTTACATCTTCACATCTTACGTCAGCGCTGCTCTTACATCTTCACATCTTACGTCAGCTGATCTTACATCTTCAAATCTTACGTCAGCTGATCTTACATCTTCACATCTCACGTAAGCTGCTCTTGCATCTTCACATCTTACGTCATCTGATCTTACATCTTCACACCCTATGTCAGCTGATCTCACATCTTCACATTTTACGTCAGCTGATCTTACATCTTCACATCTTACGTCAGCTGATCTTACATCTTCACATCTTACGTCAGCTGCTCTTACATTTTCACATCTTATGTCAGCTGTTCTTACATCTTCACAGTGTATGTGTGTAAAAGCGTCTGTGTGTAAGAGTCTGTGTGTAAAGGCATGTGTGCCTTCGTTCCTTGCTTGCTGCCAGTGCCAGTCCATTTTTTTTTTCTCAGATGGTGTTTTTGTCTGTTTGTATGATTTGTATGTTCAGAAATGATCCGGTTTTCGTGTTCCAAAATGAGCCGTCTACCCGCAGGTATGAGCGATGTCGCGTTTTTGTCTGCATATATGTGCTCTCCGGATGTGTTTCATTGTTAGTTCCGACTCTAACTGCAAACGGAACCGCAATTCCGTGAAAACTGTGAGATTCTCACAGAGTCAGACCAGTCAGGTGCACAGCATCGAAGGTCCCGTTACACCACCGCACAAGTGACAGCCGCGCCATGGTGAATGTTGATGGCTCCAAGTCACTGGGTCCAAGTTCGGAAACCCGACATGAGATGACAATGAAAATAAGATCTGAATTGCAAGGGTTAATGATGGTTAAATGATGGCTTAATATGGTTAAATAATGGTTTAATGATGGTTAAATTATATGGTTCAAGTTTGATCTCTTCACGTACAAGGACCCTTTTCTGCAGTAAAGTGCTAGATTCAACTTCGGACTTTGGGAACTGCTTTACGTGATGCCTGCCTGTACCTCAGCGTTCAGGATGTCGCATATGAAAATAATAGTGATATAATTTGATATAATCGATATTGTGGTGATACAATGGATAGTGGTGATAAACTAACATAGCTATTGAAAATGGCCATTTATAGTGGATTTTACCATTAAAAATTAGGTTATTTTCCATCTGTTAGTTTACCAGAGGATAATGGTGATAAACTCTCTCATGTAATCAATCGTGGCTGGCTTGAACATCCCCGAGATGCGTGGAGTGTACATCTTTAGTCTGCTTGGTGGTTTGGAACACTAGTGTACACTTGGGATTAATGGATTATAGTGGTTTAATGGATTTTAATGGATTTTAATGGATTTTTCCATATATTGGGAATTTCATACTCCCAACTGACGAACTCCATCATTTTTCAGAGGGGTAGGTTGAAACCACCAACCGTTGTAGTGTTTTTGGGGATGGATTTACAACATCAACCACTCAAACTGAGACGTTTAGCCAGGGATCAGCAAACTACCAAGTGAATTGGGGAATTTTACTTACTCATACGTTTTACGTAGGGAATGGATGGGTTGCTGGGGGTTGCTGGGATGATGACATTACTAGTGACTGGGATCACTCCCGAAAATTCCCTACGTAAAACGCACCAGTTATGACGGAAGTGGGCACAACGTATTCTGCGATCCACGACATGGAATCCACACGAGGTTTATGTTTATGTGCGCAGCTAGATACATTGCTTTATGTTTATGATGGTTTATGGTTGTTTATACCATTTTATACATCCCATACTTGTTGTTTATGGTAGATATTTACCAAACCAGTTCAATGATTTCAATGGAGGTTTTTTACAGCAACAATCACTATTGCTGCGGAACACCACTGTGCACGTATTGTGGCAGTACACAGGCATTGCATAGCCAACTGTTTTTTCATCATCCCTACTTGGTGGCTCATCCCACTTAGTAAGTGGGTTATAACCCCAGTTATAAGTGGATTAACCCTACTTATCCCATTTATAACTGGGGTTATAACCCACTTACTAAGTGGGATGAGCCACCAAGTAGAAGGAATGGGAAACCCCAAAGGCCCCTTCTCAAGCAATGCCAGGGATCCACAATAGGTCCGTTCATTTTGGAGGTAATCATCCACCATGTTGACATATAAAATCCAGTGTTCAATGGGAATGACTCAGGACCCTAAAATGCGGGTACTATACCATATAAAAGATTATAAAGCCATAGAAATTGGGGGCAAGTCCCACTGTACATAGCCCTTAGAAATACTAGGTCAATCTTAGATGGATACCAAATAATCCTTTTAGTCTTTTGGTAATGGGAATATCTACTAACCACCAACAAAGAATTTCATGAATGTTGCAGGGTATCTGGCTGATTGCTGGCTGATTGGCAATGGAAATAGGCCTTGTCTATAGATGTCTATAGTAGATACAAGGTTGTGCCCCCGTTCGATAGCGTTCAGTTGGTGCAAATAACTCCAATAATTCACTCTGGTTTTTCTTGGTGATATATCTATAGTATTCCTTTGGTGAATCTAAATCAATTTAGAACGTTTGTGGGTACCACCTTGTACACATCCTATCAAAAAGACGGGTGAAATGGAGCTCCCAGATGTCCATCCTGACTGGATGGCGCTTGTGAAACCAATGATTGGTCTCAAAGAATTAGCTTTGGAAACATGGGGGTAATTGGCATGAAATTTGGAAACAACATACAATATCATAGAATTAACTCAGTGCAATTGGGGCTTGTCCCATCTCAAACAAAGTGATTTGGATGATTTTAGATCCTAATATTCAGGCTTTTCACCGGAAAACTGGAAATGCTACTGTTGCACCACCCATTTCTTTTGCTTAAAATCCACTCAATCAAAACCGTTGACGAATTCCAACGGGCCATGTGACCGGCTTTATTAGGAGCCGGCTGAAGTTACTGGGTACCTGGAGGATCATCCCAGTGGTTAGTAAGGAGGGTTATCAACCACTCACTAAATGGGATGATCTTCGAAGTAGTAACTTCTAGTATCCCGGGCCTATAACATCCTATAACAAGTTACAACTTGGTTATGATAATCCCATTAGCCTCTGGTAATTTAACATAGCTATTGAACATTGCCATTTATAGATGATTTTCCCAGCTAGAAACCTCCATTTATTTTGGGGATTTTCCATGGCTATCTTAAATAACCAGATGGTAACTATAGTTATAGGATGTTATAGGCTCTGCCGCTATGATAAACCACAGTTATTCAATGTTATTCAAGGCCCCCAGTTCAACGCACGCCTTTCGAAAAGGCTATCGGTCAGGCCCCAGAAATTGCAGTGATTTTTTCGAGGGGGATCGTCCCTGCAGGCGCGAAATCCAGTGCCACCCATGATTGAGAAGATCGCACAGCGTGGATCTTAGCAACGACCGCAACGTTGCCGGTGCCACGCGTTATACGACTGTGATGCACGGAGATCGGACTTCAGTTGGTTTGGAAATGTGGCTGAATTCGATTGGGTTGGTTTTTGGTAGATATTTCACGAACTAGTTTTCATGGGGATTATAATGGTTGATCGGTTGATTCATAGATGTCCCTAAAATTCCCATTGGTTGATGAATAGAGGGGTTTCTTCAGAAAGCCCAAAATAACAACAGGTTTCTATGATGATAGATGGGATTAACCAAACCGGCCCATTTTTTTTACCAAAAGGACATTATTGATCTTAGCAACGACCTCCACTATCCAGTGCTGATGGGGGGAGCTATTCAGAGCTATGGTTCATGTTGTACAATGTGGGGCCCCCCAGTTATAAGTTTGGTTTTTAAACCCCCACAACTATAGTTATTTGCGTAACATAAACCATAGTTAGTGGAGTAATAAACCAACTGAACGCTATCTTGGGGGCCCCACATTGTATCCATATTTCCTACTAAATGTGGAGCTACTTGGAGCTACGATTTGACTTAACAACAATTCCCAGCCACATGATAATCAAAGCTGCCTCAATTTCACCAACAAACCATTCTTGGGGGGTTCCATAAATGGTGCTACCCCAAAATGAATGGTTTATAAGGGAAAACCCTATTAAAATATATTAAAATGGATGATAACTAGGGGTACCCCACTTTTAGGACATCTCCATATGAATCTATTTGGCTAATTGCCAACAAACATGGGGAAACCAACTGTCAGGAAGTTGTTCACAAGTCGATTGGTGAACGTTTCTAGGTGGGTTAATCTTTGGCTATGCAAAACAGGACACATGACGCATTATATCATGGCTTCGCCATTCCGGTGCTTTCCTCCTTGCAAGATTTGTGATCTAGATCATGTTTTGTTTGGTGCTTTCCATGGCTTTCGGTGCTTGTGCATTTATCGTGCCAGATTTAATTAAGCCAGATTTTAAGAGGCACGAAGGCTGATGCAGCTTTCTAACTGAAGATGATTTGCTGTAGCGTGATGGCCAGGATTGTATTGCTGAGCATGGCCATGACCAGCCTCGCATTGAAGCCCTGCCCAAGAGCACAGAACCATCCAGGTGTATCCCAGTGTAGATCATGCTTTCTGGGTGATTTCAGGCGAAATGGCTGAAATGGCACCAAGGCCGAAACGAATTTTCGTGGTGAATGGCAAACCAGTTGTGGCTGCATTTCATGTTGATCGAATACATGTCTATACCGAGATCATTGAGCTTGACATCAACGCCCAGAAATCAGAAATACTTTGGGTTGGTTTTCGTCCCAGTCATCGCATTCCGGTTTTAGTCAGCGACATGAAAGGCAATCTGCCGTGTGCGATGGCGGATGGCAATGGGATGCGAATTGCTAGTAAGAAGTATGGGTAGGAATGGTGTCCATACTCTATATATATATATTATTTACGCTCTGGTGGTCTTATTTTTCAGACTTTGCCATTAAGGAGACATGCAAAAGTTTTCATTTTCATCTACACATGTAGACAATATCAAGATGAATACGTTCTACATATGTAGATCATATGTAGAATTGAGTGCTGCACTGGAAACAAGGAAAAGAATTGAATAAGGAGGTGGGGGACTCAATCATCAAACAAGACATAGGTATGGCTTCGCCTACGCGGTTAAATTGAAACTTATTGGAAAATGATGGAAAATGGATGTGTATGGTTGCCTATATCACTCATATTATATCACACCTCCACGTGTTGTTGTTTCTGGATGTTTCTGGGGATTATACGTTCAAAACCATTAATCTGATGGTCTTAGATCAGGTTTAGTAGGTTTTCTCGTATATCATCAAATATCCATTAATCTAGGTGTCTGGGTGGGCAGGGCCCAAAATCTGGGTACTTCAGAAAGGGATGGTTTCCGAGCAAAGAATGACGACCCTGACACAGTCACTATGCGTCCACGGCGCCAGATCCATCTCCACAGCCGAGCTTGGCACCGGCTAGAAATCCAATGCGGCCAATTCTAGGTCAATCTTAGATGGATACCAAATAATCCTGACTAGTCTTTTGGTAATGGGAATACCTACGTTCACCAGCAAAGAATTTCATGAATTTTGCAGGGTATCTGGCTGATTGGCAATGATTTCTGGAAAATTCTTGACATATCGCGGCTTGAAAGGCCTTAATTACTGCCATCAGATTTCCAATATTTTTTCTGGGAGGATCAAGTAAAAAATGTCGGAGAAAAATAAAGCAGGAATGTTGTTTGCTTAATGATGTGACCATCTTTAGTAAGTTCCGAATGGTCCGAATGGTTATTGTTTATAATTGTTTGTACCACTTAAAAGTGATTCTAACATCTTATATCCATAGTTACCAGCCACTTATGTGTTTTTTTTTCTGGGGAGACTGAGACTGAGACTGAGACGAACATCTATGCACAAGTCCTTCAAAAAGCTGCGCCATGCCCATGCTGCCCATGGACTAAGGTTATTGGCTATGCTCCATGAGGGTCAACAACGTGCAGATGCTTACCTAGGAGTCTGTTGATGTCTGTTGTGTTGGGCAGGGTCCTCCTTTGATGTCTTTGACAGAACTAGTGCGTTCGGAACCTGGTGAAGTACCAACCAAAAGGGAATATTCTCAACATTCAACCAGCTGATTTAGGGATTATGACTGTTCTGCCAGGTTGAAACATGTTGAAACATGTTGAAACCATCAACAATCCCAACTCCGATAGGTTTTGTATTTGTTCGATGTATATGTTTGTCCCAATTGTTTAAGCATTTTTTAAGTATGTTTTAGTCTTTCATCCCGATTTGTTTCTCTTTGTTTGTCTCTTTGTTCCTACAACCATGCTATATGCTATATGGGTGACGAAAATTGGGTTGACCATATAGCATCAGGTAGCCATGTCAGAGCCATGTTTTGGAAACCAAATGGCTGTTAATTGTTAGAAGTTAGTTTGTAAACCCATCTAACTACAGTGCCATAAACCCCAGTTATCCTAGTTACAAACCAACTTCGCCAACATACATCAACTTATGAATCAATACTGGTTGGTGGTTTGGCACATTTTGTATTTTTCCATATATTGGGAATTTCATAATCCCAACTGACTATCATATTTTTTAGAGGGGTAGGTATACCACCAAGCAGTACAGTAATCATGGGGATATCTATTGAATATGGCATATATGGAATATGTATAGCTTATGAGGATATATCATAAATCAATAAATCACATTCATAGAACCTGATCATGGGAAAATTGACAGGAACCCCCAAGCAATTTTATCTGGTTGGTGGTTTGGAACATGAATTTTATTTTCCCGTACATTGGGAATGTCATCATCACAACTGACTTTCATATTTTTCATGATGGTTATTGCACCACCAACCAGTGATATACATATTTTTTTTTTATGTTGGTTAAAACCACCAACCAGTTATAGTAAAAACCATGGTTTCCGGTGAAGATTTTCCCTTTAAAAAACACCACTCCATTGACACCGGCGAAATCCCGGCGTTTGTTTCCGACGAGAAAAAACCGGAACAGGAGATTTGTCCAAGTCCAACGCCTTGGTGTCGGCCATGCGGCAGAGGACATGGCGACAGGAAATCTTCTGGATATAACATGTGGGTAAAACAAGAATAAACCATGAGAATATGATGATATATCATGATATATCAATTTATCACATATATATAACTATATATATATACATCATTACCATAAATTATGTATATAAACCATGATTACATATGGTAATATATATATATAATGTTTACATATAGTTATATACATAGCTTTATACATAGTTATATACATTAGGTATATACATAGTTATATACATAGTTGATGATGACTGGGGGTAGCCCCATGACGAATCGGACACCTCCATATATATATATACATACACGTACATCAATACATTGTTCTTCTATCTACCTCATAGCAGGCAACACACATCCATTTGTTTTTATGTCTATGGATATCTATATATGGATCAATACCTAACAAACTATGTTACGGAGATGACCCTTCCTCATGTTCTTTTGTCACGTGTGTAGTCTTCTACGATCATGACGGGATGAACAGAAAGCACGTCAAAAATTGACGGCACATGTAACTAGGAGTAAAACATGGATATTGCTTTAGATAAAGAAAATGGATATAGCTATTAGTGCAATCATATATATATAATATGTATATATATATATACACCATTATGTACCTTCATATTATTTCCCATGTGGCCAAAAACTACGGTGGTCAACTGTTCACTCCATTAATCTTCGTCAACCCAAATCTTGGTAAGTTCATCGTATAAATATTATATAATATATATATATATATACTCACTACCCAAATGAAATTATCGTTTTGCAGGGCTTGCAGAAATTGTAGCCGTGATAACAAACCGCTCAGAACCCCCAATGCAATATGGCGGATGTGTACATTTTAGGATTCCACATCTGTTGGGATTGGTACTATAGGAGCAAGGCATTGCAAACAATAACGATGATTTCTGATTAGCAATCATTTGCCAGTACAAACATGGTTATCCTTACTACTATGATCATATAGGAATGGGTCAACACAAATTATTACCATAGCTTGGGGAATAACAATCCATTAGCCAACAATTTCGGAGTATCTATGGTGCCAGCGTTTTGACGAAAATAACCACATGTATATCATATATACATACTACTAATAACTACTAATTAATACATGTAGATATGGGGATGGGTCAATACCTATAAGTACCATTTTTAGTGGGATGAACATCCATTTACCAGCTATTTTGGGGTTCACTAGGGGTACCAGGGTTTTGACCCATCCCCATATCTCACCACTTCTTCAGGCTTAAAGTTGCCCATGTCCCATGTCGGGCAGGAATATGGCGCTCTTTAGCCGCACCCAGATGTTCGAGTCCTTCAAGTCCAGAGCTCTCATGAGGCGAGACGAAGAGATGAGTAAATTCTTATGACTTTCCATATATTGGGAATTTCATACTCCCAACTGACTTTCATATTTTTCAGAGGGTGGTAGGTCAACCACCAACCAGATGGTGATTCATAGTTGATTTAGCCATTACCCTCTGGTAAACTAACAGTTTGCTATTGAAAATGGCCATAGAAATAGTGGATGTTCCCATGAAAAATGGGTGGATTTTCCATAGTTTTTTGTATGTTTACCAGGGGGTAATGCTAAACCCTGACTCTCAAACTTGCTGGCTTACCCTCTGGTAAACTGTTACATAACTATGGAAAATCACCATTTTATAGCTGGGTAAATCAACTATTTCGACTGGGCCATGGCTTCAATAGCAAACTGTAACAAATTACCAGAGGGTAACCTGGTTATTTAACATAGCCATGGGAAATGGTCCATAGAAATAGATGGTTTACCGAACTTAATAGCATGGTGATTTTCCATGGCAAACTGTGAATGTCACAACCAAACGGTAACATTTTCCAAAGAATCCGGTAGCTTAGCGAAGTGCCCCACAAAACTTCGCTTATGCTTATGATGACTTAGTGATATATGGCACCAGGAAAAAACAGTTTTTGGTGGGTTTTTTGCAGCCACATACCAGTTAGGGCACCGCCTTGTTACTTACGGATGTTTTTCATCAAGTTAATCAAGACAAGGACAAGATCTGAAGCATGTATAGAATGGGGTTTAACCTCAGGTTGGTTTTAACAGTGTTTTAACCATCTAAATGGGTGTTTAACAAAAACACCGGAATTCACGATGAACATTCAGGTTACTTTCTAGCCACCGAGTGATGAAAAGTTGGTTGAAGGGTATCGGTATCAAGTCTTGGCAAAAGGATGGGTGATTGGTGAATGCTCAGACTTTACATGGCTGAAATATAGTTTTTTTTTTTCAAGACTATGTATATATAATATATATGCAAATATCTGTCTCCAGACACGAGCTGTCTGGAATCAAAATGCAGTTATCGTCACTTTACAAAACTTTTAGTCATTTACTTGGCGATGTTTTTTAAAATCTGGAAGACCACTGCTGGTTCGACATGGTGGGCAATGGTTTGTAGATGGATTCACCTCAACACATAGCATCTAACTTGAGGTACACATGCCTTATTATAATGTTATATGATCCATCTGGTTATTTGACATAGCCATGGAAAATGGTTGATTAGCTAGAAACCACCATTTATTTTGGGGATTTTCCATGGCTATGTTAAATGACTATAGGGTATCCATTTAAGTGAACTTTGCATTCGACAGCACGGTATTGCTGGACAATCTTCCCTGAATCCTTGGGTGACTTTCTGAAGCAGCAGGCATGATAGCATTTGTATCCATTTGAGTGGAGCCATCATTTACATCTGTGGATAGATTCTAGCCCTATACTCTATTCTAGCCATAAATTCTAGCAATTTTAGCAGCAATCCAAGTTTTTTGTCATAAAAAGATGGCTGAATTTTCTTGTGACTCACGTCGTGAGGTCACTGGAAGTAGGATTGAAGGAATCATCTCCGCTATTTTCAGATTGATTTAACGATTATTCACTAATTATTAAGAAATTATGGCTAATTATGGCTAATTATGGCTAATTATGGCTAATTATGGCTAATTATCTAATGGTTATTTAAGAACAATCTTAATTATTAAGCAGCTTATTCACTAATCTTTAGAATTCAGCCAGAATTAACCGCTAGTGATTCTTCAGGGCTATGTCAGGATCAGAGATGACATTGGAAGATCCCACATTGGTACCCTCTGGTAATCTAACATAGCTATGGAAATTAGTGTCTTTCATGAGGTAATTTATCCATACATGGGCCATCTATACCATAGCTATGTTAAATTACTGGAGGGTAACAGCCATTAAAGATACTTTAAAATCATTTCCATATCTCTAATATCAACTATAACATATTATTACCATTAAGAAACAAAAACAGTTGTAGATTATCCATTAAGTAACTATTAATCATACTATATCCATTATTTATGTGCTAACTAGATGAGTCACATTTCAATATATTCATTACCTAATAATTGGAGATAGTATGATAATCCATTATTACTTACTAACTAGTATGATAATATCCATTAATTATTTTATATCATAATATATCCATTATCATACTAGTAACTGTCTATTATATCATTAATATCAGCCACAACCATATAATTATTATCCATTATTATATATTATATCATAATATCTTATATCCATTATCATCAATGGACATAAGTAATTGGAGATGGTTGTGGCTGATGCCATATTCGAGGATACCCAGCGCGGTTAGATGCCCCTTATTGTTTTTCAGTAGCCGAGGTAACGGTGTCATCAAACCTAGCTGTTTTGAACATGCCCGGCCTAAATGGAGATGTTCATTGGGAACATGATCTAGAAATGGTTTTTTTTGTTATGTTTTTTTTTGATTTTCCAGTTTAAGCCACAGTTGATTACCGGAGGGCAAGTCTGAATAGCACCCGTCTATCCCGCCAGAATGTCGAAACACTTTGGGTAGCGTTCGGAGGTTAACTTTATGGGGATCGTTCGAAAAACACAATCCTCCCATGGGGTTTCGCTCGGCATTCCCCGTTTTTTGCCGCAGCCGAAATTGGACTGTGAACTTTGCGCTGGCTTGTGAAAAACCACCTAAGTTTTTTTTTGATCTTTTTGGAGATTCTAATTGGTTGATTTGTCATGTTTCCCCAAAATTGGATGGTTCCGACAACTGTTTCGGCGTTTCGGTGTTCATCCCTGCAAGATGAAAACAGGAGGTTTCCCAAAGGAAATCGTGGTGCAACATGGTTCAACACATGTTGAAATACTTTGAGATGGGGCCGATAACACATGATAAAACAGTCAATATGAAATTACTCCTTCAATAATGGAACGAGAACACATTATAAAGCAGTCAATTTATTGCGTGTTTTTTTTTCAATAGTCCCCCGTAAATCATAAATCTGGGTAAATTATAACGACCTCACTGCGACCTCACTGGAATCACGGTTAATACGGAAAATCATCCCCAAATGGCTTTAATTCAGGTTCGTGAATGATTATAATTTACCCAGATACATAGATATATATATATATATGGTACCCCCCCCCCCTGGTACCTGCCTTTCCTTGATTTATACTGTAAATTACAGTATAATTTGCTTATTTTCATATGTTGAATTTGATAGGTTTTTTATATTGAGTTTCTTGAGACATGAGTTCAGACTTGAGTTCAGACTTGACTTCAGACTTGAGTGTCATAGTCTCGATTCCTGCTACCCAAGATCCAAGATCCAAGATTTCCAGAAAGCTTTTTATATTGAGTTTCTTGAGACATGAGTTCAGACTTGAGTTCAGACTTGACTTCAGACTTGAGTGTCATAGTCTCGATTCCTGCTACCCAAGATCCAAGATCCAAGATTTCCAGAAAGCTTTTCTTGGAAATCTTGGGATAAACCCAAGATCCAAGATCCAAGATTTCCAGAAAACTTTTCTTGGATGCACTTGCAGAATCTTGGATGCACCCAAGATCCAAGATCCAAGATTCCCAGAATTTTTTTCTTGGATGCAGGCTGGAAATCTTGGATGCACCCAAGATCCAAGATCCAAGATTTCCAGAAAACTTTTCTTGGATGCACTTGCAGAATCTTGGATGCACCCAAGATCTTGGATCTTGGGTTTATCCCAAGATTTCCAAGATTTCCAAGAAAAGTTTTCTGGAAATCTTGGATCTTGGATCTTGGGTGCATCCAAGATTTCCAGCCTGCATCCAAGAAAAAAAATCTGGGAATCTTGGATCTTGGATCTTCGGTGGCAGGCTTTGAGGCTTGAGTTCAGACTTAAGTTCAGACTTGAGATCAGTGTACACATGTGTAGACAGAAACTCTCCGACAAACAATGTCCGTGTGCCTCGGTCTGAGCTTCGCTCTTGGCTTGTTGAGATCTCGTATCCTCGTGTCATCGCATCCGGCCTCATGTCGATCCCCGTTGCCGGAAGTGTGCTTCTGCGCGACAATCAGGCCGTTGTTGTCTTGTCGGTGGCACAGGATGGCGCGGCGGCTCCTGGGGGACCTGGTGGGGGACCTGCAGACAACCTACAAATGCTGCTGAATCAAGTCCTCGCCGGGGACCATGCAGTACATGAAAGTAGACAACCACTTGCGCGAAAGCACCTAGCGGCAATGGTCTGCAACATTCAGAAAGGACTCCGACTGGCCCCTGTCGGATTGCTGGGCAGCTGGAGTCCTGACGCCTCACGAAAGCTCCTACATGCCCTGGCTCTCCCCAAAGTGATCCGTCCCAAAAAGGAGACTGCCACAGCCTCCCAACCTGCGCCTCGGCTGATTGGACTTCAGAACATGTGTTCCATGTCTTGAGTACAAACACTCGTTATTTTCTCGGGGACGAAGTCGCCTTACGTACTTTGGTTCTCCGCGCGTGATTATACAGTTACGAAGACATGTTCGGTATGATCATATGCCTTCTGTCATTTCTCGCTCTCTCAGGTCTTGCAGCTGACGAATGGTACTTCATCCTCGTCGACGTCGTCCACGTCTGACTCTTCCTCTGACTCTGACTCCTCGTCGGCATCAGAAGAAGAGCAATGGCAAGGAGTACCGAACCCGTCTTTAGGCGTTGCACCTGAAGTTGATACTGAGTACGAGTACGTGCCCAACCCGGCCCTCAACATTGCCCCCCCTCGCCTGTAGGTGGCGTCGTGGACAGTCCAGAGGAGGTTGCAGGATCCAATGGGAGCGCAAGTGTGGCATCTTGGAATGAGGGTGTGCTGGGTGCCGGCAGCGCAGGAGAGCAGGACAACGGGCAGACTCTGGAACGTCCACTGAAAATCCAGAGGTGCAGCTTGTGTCATGACTTTGATGATTTGTTGGAGACGTATCTTGAAGCGGCGGACGAGTTGGAGAAAACACAGCAGAAAGTGCTGGAGTTGCAGGCCATTTTAGCAT